GTAAGTACCCGCGAAAACTTGAGTAAACAAACTGTAACTAAAAATCCACACAAACCACGCTGGAGCAATTAACTGGACAGGGCAGGATAAGGAATTGCAGACTTCAAAGGCCAACAAAACACACACAGTTGGGAAGACACCAGGAACCCAGATAAGCCTCGATAACTCACAGTTTGATTCCAGCAACTTTGCTGCAGCTTGCCTTTTTAAACACTGTTCCTAGCTGCAGCTAATGAAGGGAATCAGGGCCCTTTCCTCCCCCGTAAGCCATACAACCCACGTTGCTCCCTTCTCCGTTCCTCCCTGCGTGCCCTCGGATGAAGAGCGGGTGGGTCTGGGTCTTCCTCCGAACCCCCTCTCCCTTGTTCTACCTCCCTCCTGCTCTGCCCAGCTGGGCTCTGCCCTTCCCCAGTTTCCTCCACAGCCAAGGGGGCCACACTCCCACTCCCTGTCAGCTGCTCAACCTCCCCCTTGGAATCAGATTCCAACAGGGCATGACAGATGGTCTGAGTAACTAATTCTTCACTTAATCCAGGGTAAATGGATTTTTGCCTTCGTCCAGAAAAAGCCTAACATTAACCAACTTGGATTAGACTAAGTTTTGCAACTGGCCTCCCCAGATTCTGGGTTAAGCTTCAGACAGATGGTGGAGACAATGGACTGAAGGTCAAGGAATTAGGCAGAGCCTGTTAAATCTGTTTTAATTTTCAGTGTGCAATACCGCAATTTATTTTCATTGAATGAATGCAGCCAACCTCTGCTAAAATTCTGCTTTATCTTTTAAAAATACGGTTTAGCATCCAGTTCTGGAGAGTTAAGGCTTTGGGATGGGCCGGATGTGGTTTTTAAGCTTCAGGTTGTCAGTCCTAGCCAAGAGAGATGTAGATTACAAGGTAGTCCTCGACTTACAACAGTTTGCTTAGTGACTGAAGTTACAATGGCACTGAAAAGTGACATAGAAGAGAGAAGAGAATGGAATAGAAAAGGAATAGAATAGAATATAGAATAGAACAGAATAAAGAATAGAATAGGGAATAGAATATAGACTAGAATAAAGAAGAGAATAAGGAATAGAATAGAATAGAATAGAATAGAATAGAATAGAATAGAATAGA